TGCCATTTGCCTTGAGGCCATTACTAGAGCCAAACCTCGTACTCTTGAACCTCCGGAACTGACAACTAAATAATTCTCTTCTGTATAAAGGACCCAGGAATTTGCTGTGGCAACACAAAATGGAGCCAAGACACTGGCTTCTATTCCATATATGTGTGTGTGTGTGTGTGTGTGTGTGTGTGTGTGTGTGTGTGTCCATTTCAGCTCAAATAGCAAGTTGGATGCAGGAGTTGTTATCAGGTAGTTCTTCGGAAATGGCTTGCCATTCAAAAATATTTCTCGCTTCAAGCAAAGAATTGGACAAGACAAGCCAAAAATGGTGCGAAAGTTTATTTGAAAAGTGCAAAATGAATCAGTATGGGAGAAACCAGCTCTGCAGAGCAAACTTGGGCTGAACAAAGAGAAAAAAAGAGGGTTACAGCAAAAATAAAACTACAGGGTACAGCTGAGAAATGAGGCACCAGCTATGTGAGAACTCAGGATAGCAGCTTTCCCTGATGGAAGTCTTCTTTTCATGTGGTCCACAACTGGGAGATCAGGAGAAGTTCTATATATGGGGTCCTGGTGTTGCTCTGGGATCTTGTAATTGACAGGTCCCTGCTCATTTTCCAGCCACGCACTACTCCTATATCGAAGTCACCTACCTTTGTTCTACCCTAGTTCTTTCTTTTATTTCCCCTATTTTTCCTCCTCCTCTTGGTCTCCCTCCTCTTCCTCATTAGCCATGAATCATCTTAGATAGTCTTTATTTGTTGTTATTGTTTGAGGATGGAACTCAGGACCTTGTGCTTGCCTTTGAGACAGTCTCACCCTGTAGTTCAGGCTGGACTTGAACTCACTATGTAGCCCCAGCTGGCCCAGAACTAGTGGTGATTCTTCTGTCTCAGTCTCCCAAGTGGTAGGATTACAGGCATGGGTCACCACGCCCAGCTGGAGAGCTTTGTTTGAATGTCTGACTCTAATAATTCCCCATGTCAATGAACGAATTTCCTCTTGGAACAGTATCAATGTGAATGAAAACACACAAACTACATTAGAATAGACAACTATGAATCCATGTAAAATTATTCAATGGCTTCAAGAGAGAGCCAAATTTTAGTTCACTTATTTAGAATCACACCAGAAAATGTTTTTTCTCTCCAAGTTTATTTTATTCCCCATTTACTTGAATGGTATGACCTCATAGATATTTATTTCATATATACTTTGAAGTACTCTTATGGCTAATCTTATCAATTGAGTTGGTTTAAGAGAGATTAGCAAAGCACAATTTGTGGCTATATTAGGGTGGGTCTCGGAGGTGAAGTTTTGGGACCATATCTGGACACTGGTCCCTTTCCTCTCTGCCCCTTCCTTCTTGTAGGCTTTCTGGCCACCACAAGTTGAATGGTTTTCCTCAGAAGTAGCCTTCCACCATGATGTTTTTACCCCAAGCTGCCAACTGTGTGATGCTGTGAATCAAAATAAATGTTTCCTTCTCTATATTGTGTGTCAGGTGATTTGTCCCAGCAATAACCAGCATATGCATAAAAACATAGACCCTAATTTCCTAATACTTTTACTCAGCTTCTTCATCAGTTGGCTGTTAGAAATTGTTTCTGCTGGTTCAGTGAGATCCAATCAGTATTTTTGTTTGTTTGTACTTACTGTATCCATATTTTCAGCCTCAAGGTTCTCCAGGCTTATTCTGCTTCCTGATAAGTTCAGGAAATTTATTAAAATAAATATTGCTAGTACTTTATTTTTCTTTAAAACAGTTGGATTTCAACTTTATGATTTTTAACATTGTATGTGCTTTTCTCTTTTATTTATCATCCTATCACTTTATAAATCATTTTCTTTTCCATTAGTCCACCTCTATGGTTTTGGCTTGTTTCCACTATCTACTTGAGTTGGGTTTAAAAAATCAGTAGAACGTGGATGTTAATTTTCAAGTAAATATTGTTTAGATTGTCTTTTATTGTTAGTTTCCAATTTTACTTCATTCTGGTCCAGTTTACTAATTCTATGGAATTTTAAGTAGTATTTTTTGTATAGTTTTGTATTGGTAGGGTTATGTGTTTTGTTTGTATTGAAAATAATTTTTCATTTGCTTTGTGGTTATTGCAGATTATATCAAGTTGTTAACTATGTTGTTCAAACTTTCATAGCATTATTAATATTTTTCTGTTATATTGATTTCTGAAAAAATTGTGTTAAAAAGCCAAAAGCTCCTAGCATCATACATTTAGTCTCTAACTTTTCTTTTTTTTGGGGGGAGTACTGGGGATCAAACTCGGGTCCCTGCAAGAGAGGAGGTGGAACCACTGAGGTAAATCCCTGGCCCTACCCTATAACTCTTAAACTTGGCTCTCTTTCTTTTTTGTGATTATGTGTGTGTGCGTGTGCGTGTGTGCACGAGCGCATGCGACCACACGCATGCAGGCTTCACAAATGCTAGACAAGTGCTCTACCAATGAGCTACATGCCATATGCCACCCCCCCCCTTTTAAGAAGAGGTTTCCTTAAGTTTCCCCTGGCCTGGAATTTGTGATATGTTTGCTTCAGTGTTATGGCTTATGTCTAGATGTTCCCCCTAAGCCTCATGTGGTCATAGTGCCCTCCCTCCTTATCAGGAATCGAACTCATAACCTTGTGCTTGCCAGGCAGACACAGTGCTACTGAGCTAAATCCCCAGCCATAAGGGGCTTTTTGGAGGTAGTTGTATGTAGTGTGTAATGCTGAGATTAAGGGTGTGATGCTGGGATGAATCAGTAGTAGGATGATAGGATTAAGGGTGCCCCACCCCAGGTGAGATTGCTACCCACCCTAAGGTCGGGCAGAATATAAGAGACAGAAAGAGAGCTGCTCTTGTAGCTTGCTGCTGCAGCTTTGCTACTTTGCTGCCTTCTACTCACCTTGAACAGTTTCTCCTCTGTGATGCCCTCTGCTATGCTACCCTGCCTTGGAGCCAGCCAGCAATGAGCAGAAACCTCTGCAACCTGTGAGTCAAAATAATCCTTTCCTACTTTCTGTCTCAGTCGTTTCTCCTGTTTTGTCTCAGTAAGGAGAAAAGTAACTAAGACACTCAGCCTCCCAAGTAGCTGGGAATACAGGAATGTGTCACCATGCCTTGCTTAGTGCTTGCTTTCTGTCCTCACTGCTGTGTGGTTGAAGTGAACAAAGCTCATCCATGTCATATGTTTCTAGGAAGTTCTTCTTTTCAATAACTATAGAATGTTCCTAATAGTTCTATAACATATCCAATATTTATGAATTGCTACTTCGGCTTCCTTTGTTTAATATTTGCCTATTTCTCACCCCTTGATTTTCAGTTCCTTAGTTCAATTTGATTTAACTGACGTTAAGAAAGTGAGAGGCATTGATTCAGTGGGAAGAGATACCAGGAATTAATCCCTGCGATTACATTCTGTGGACACTGGTTAAATCAGAATGTTGTCTGAGTATAAAGCCAGAATCCTCCCTGCCAAGGTAAACCTTTTCTGAGTATGCTGCAGTGTCTTCAGAGGGACCAGGATTTTGTTGCTGGAAAGTAGGAAGCTCTGCTGTTCTGTTGATCCAGATTGGAATATTTATACTTTTGAAAAAATTGCTACCACTAAATTGTTTGCAAGATTAAATTCCACAAGCCTGGTGCAGTGGTACACTTCTATAATCCCAGCATTTAGAAGGCTAAGGTGGGAGGATTGCTATGAGTTTGAGGCCAGCCAGAACTACAGAGAGTTCAAGTCCATCTTAACCACATAGCGAGATTCTGTCTAAAAAAAAAAAAAAGAATTAATTCTACATAAAAAATAAGTAACAGCAAGAACAGTAAAAAAAAAAAATCTCTAGTAAATTTTTAGCTATTTCTCCTATTTCTATCACCACTGTAACTCGATTTTTTTTTTTACCTTTTCTCTTTATACTTCATGTTTTTTCACTTCTCATAGTCTTCAGACAGATTTTTTCTTGGCGTTGTTTTGCTCATCATTCCTATTGGGTTTTAGATTTTTAAATCTTGAGACAGAAATTTCTAAGTACATGAATTGCTCAAGCTAGGGTTAAATCTTTGATCCTCCTGCCTCATGCTCTAGATTGCTGGTGTGACAGGCATACATTATTATACTTGGCTATTTAAATTGAAAAATTTTGTTCCTGAGTTGGGTGTGGTGGCGCACGCCTGTAATCCCAGCACTAGGGAGGCTAAGCCAGGAGGATCGCTGTGAGTTCAAGATCAGCCTGGGCTACAAGTGTTCCAGGGCAGTCTCAACTACATAGTGAGACCCTGTTTTAAAAACAAAACAAAACAAAACAAAACAAAACAACAAAAACACAAAAAACAAATAAAGGGTTCTTCCTGTATTGCCCACTATGGCCTCAAGTGATTTATTCTCCTGCCTTAATCCCAGAAAAATGCCTGCAGGGACCATCAAGATAGTTTTTCAGTTTCTTAATTTCCTTTCATATTAATTCATCTAGCTTCAAGATTTGAGTGATTAAACACTTTCTTTAAGACTTGCTTATTTCTACTTTAGTTCAAATAGTTTTTCTCTTTCCTGGTCACCATTTGATATTAAAATCTGACATTCAGCAACTTCGATTTTTTTTTTCCAGTACCAGAGATTGAACTTGAGCTCTGGAACCAATGAGCTAAATTTCCAGCCCAGCAACTTCGATATTGATTGCTATGGTATTAAGACAGTAGTTATTTTGTCTTGCATGTATTTTAAATTATCCTGTATTTTTTTAGGTGTAGAGGTTAGTCCTTCTTGATGAGACTTTCGGTGCAGAAAAACCAGGAGCTACTGGGTCACATAAGCTTCAGCATGAGAAAAGCCTGCAAAAGAGTGTAACCTTCAGTGAGAACCTCACTGAGCTACGCAGCAAGCCAGAACTTGGCTTGGGCAGTGAAAAGAAGAAAACAAAGGAAAAGAAAGCATTTATACACAAGCATTCAAAAGAAGAAAAAAACACCTAAAAAACACTGGTCTGCTCTGGGTGGTGCTTACACTGCAGGGATGAAACCTGAGCATTCTGTTTCCCAGAATCCCCGTTCCACAGTCATGACCTTCCGGCCAACCACGGAGGAGTTTGCAGATTTCAGCAAATACGTTACTTACATGGAGTCCCAGGGTGCACACAGAGCTGGCCTAGCCAAGGTCATTCCTCCCAAGGGGTGGAGACCCCGAGGCCCATG